GGGGTTGGCCAGCTCTGGTACAGGTGGCCACCATCATTACATCAAGGCAACATGCAAACACTGATATGGTGGAAAGGCAGCACCAAATAAAAACCTAGATTGTTTTTTGACAAGATAAAGCCCTTTGAAATAAGACTGATTTTTACGAGGGACCACTAGCATGCACAAGAAACGAAAAGGTTCCCCCTCCAACACAGCTTTGATTGACACAAGTGATAACCTTGGAAGACCTTAACTTTCAGAAAGGAAGACAACCATTTTTTCCCACTCTGCAAGCGAAGACTGAGAAAGAGGATCTGGAAAGCTTTTAAATATTTAAAAAATGTTGCTGCAAAGGAACGGAAACGATCTGTTCTTTATTATTATGACAGAAAGAATGAGATGACATAGGTTTTGCTTGCCCTAAGATAGACTGGAAACAGACATAAGAAAAGCCTGTAGACTCTAAGGATGATGCTGTAAAATGTGTCACCATAGGGAAGTGATGGGATATTCATCATTGGAGGTCATTAAGAAGAGGTCAGACAAAATCTTTGGTAAAATGTGTATATAGCTAATGCTGCCTAACTGGAGGAGATGGGGAGGGGAGAGGGCTGAGATGACCTGTTTTAGATCTTGCCCTGTGCTATTTTTCTGTGAGCAAATGAGCCCTGTGCTTACCTGCTCAAGGTCTTTTTTTTTTTCTGTAGCTCCTCTCTGTAGCAGTTAGTTTGAAGCTTGTGGGAAGGAGAGAATAGTAGGCCTGGGGCATAAGACATGGGCTATTTTGGGAGTCAGGGAATGATTTATTATGAACACAAGTGTTCCCACTACCAAAAAACAAAGTAAACTTGTAAAATTTTATCAAAGAACTGGAATAAATCATCATCATTTTACATGGAGAATGCAAGGCACGGAGGTCTGAACCATTTGCAAAGTTGTAAAAACGAGTGTGGAAGCTGGATTACATGGCTGCTTGTCCAGTGACCAGTCCCATGGGCTCCATTCTCATACTGCTCTCCCACCAAGCCATTCAAGATTGCAAGGAGGCAGCCTTGCCTCACAAATAATTTGCCAGCACCCGGGCAAAGTCAGACTTACCACTGCGTGGGTAATTTCTGCTGGAACAAGAACACCTTTGAAAAAATTATCATTATTGGGAAAATAAAGCTAAAGCTAGTTCAAGATGCGCCCCTTGCAGAGTAGTTTTGGACCACCAGACCCATCTCCCTTAACTTGCCTCATTCTGTCTAACCTTCAACAGCAGAAATATACTCCTCTAACAGGTAATCATCAATAAACAGAAAGAAAAACAAAAGGCAGAAGAATAAAGGAGACACTACTGATAAAAAAAAACAGTATTGCAAGAGTACACAAGTGCAAATGAGGCATCATAGCAGCCCGATCTGTAAAAGGTTAGCTCAGARGCTCTTATAACGAAGTTTAATAATGACCAGTGCCAGTCCTTCTGCAATGCTCCTTACCAGACTGCATGGGCTTGTTCTGATTTCCTCTCTGCCAGGTTGGGAACCCAAGGAGGACRCACACTTGAATCACCCACAGGAGGTCTTGCCGCCTGCAGCTGAGTGCACCTGGGGACTAGGCCCCAAACTAAACTTGAGGAAATTGGCAAAAGCAGGCTTTAGGATTCCCACACAGATAGGAAACAGGATTTGGATTCACTGAAAGCAAGACAAAATATAGAATGAGAGCTTTATCAAGAGTGCAAATGTCGAGAACCTCAGCCCAGAAATATATACAGACAAGGAGTCTTCTGCATTGCTAGTGTAAGTATAGTCACATTCTTTGCATGCTTAGGCCTTTTCTAGCTTATTGAAATGGCATRTTTAACTTTTTATTTATAAATCAAGGGATATTCCTCTCTGCCGTAAGACACATTCCTCTGAGGCTTATGGTCTTTAGCAGATGCTCAATCTGCGTATTTTCTCCTGATGGTTTTATGTTTGTGTTCATCAACACTCAGCAAGAGCCATAAACCCAGCCCTGCTCTCGGTTGCACATGTGCAGCTCCCATTGACTTCCCTGGATTCTCAGCTGACTTCAGGAAGAGCTGTGTGTGCACGCAAAAGGACAGGACTTGGCTCTACACATTTAATAAAATTACATCACTAGATACTCTATAAATGAAGGGCAATGAAGGCCATGTTGAAAAATAATATAAACTGAAAACTCAAAGTGTAGCCAAATAAGTTCTATTTGCACCCAAGTCTTCCCAGAATAATAAAAAGGACATCCATTTTACGTGAGATAAAATAAAACTCTTATAATATCTTAGTATCCACAGTGTGCTCTGCCTCCCTTCGCAGGACTGTAGTGTGAAGCCATCTACATAAGGCAATGATCTCGTCTCAAATGCAGCAGTGACATTGGCATATGAAACAATTAAGTAAAGGTCAGGTTACAAGCTGTGATTTGCTAAGTCATTTTCTGCATCTGTATCCCTGCTCTGGAAGTTAGGAAACTCACTGCAACTGGGTTAGAATACCRCAGAACACCACAGGAGAAAAAGTAATCAATCATATGATATTCATAACAAATATTACAGGATTTTGAACCTACTCTAATGCTCTAATGGTGGKATTTTAAAGATATCAAATGCTTGAATCCAAGAGGATCTGTTTTGAAGCCACCATCACTTCCATCCCAAGAATCCATAACAAATACCCACACAACCTACAAACAACTCTCTCCTTCCAAATTTCGAGTTGTATCTAGCAACACACCATTTCTGTTAGCATGAGGTAGCACACACTAACAGAAGCAATGACACATCTATTTTCTCCGTTTTCCCTTTAATTTACTTTTACTCATTCCATGATGTAATAACTTGKGCCTTTTTACTGCCTCTTGAAAAATATCTGCCTATTACGCTGAAGAACACTGTGACTTCTACAGGCCCAGCTACCAAAGGCTTCCCCACACTTTCCCTTGACTCACCAGCATTTACTAGTCAGCAATTACAAAGTTACACACAGAAGCGCTCAGGGGTGGGAATCGGGGGCTCGGTGTTCACGTTTGGTTTTTCCTTCTAAGCAGGAACATCTCAGATTATTTTCACACTTAAATAGCAGAACAGATTTTATGAATCTTTTTTTTGTCTTCCTGGTTGGAACAACCCCTGTTCCCTGTTGGATTATAATACTGAGTCACTTTGCATAAAGTGGGTTATTATTGCCAAGTCAAGGGAGAGGGAAGGGACGTGGATGAAGTGCTCAGAACTTGGATCCGTTACAGGATACCTATCAAGTTGCTTATTAAAAAACATATTGAAAATGAAAATAAACTCATTACAAGGCAACTCAGATAAAAAACCTCCAGATATTCAACCAAAATTAGTAAATCTAATGTGATATTGATGATGAGAAGGAGTGTGAAGATGACTCCGTGTTCAGATGGAGTCTGGCCTGCTATAAATGCTGAGTCGCTGCACTAGTCACTCACACCACACTATCCAGTAAATGAAGTGATGAGCGCGGCAGAATCTGTGCCTCCCACACTACAGCCCTGTGGGATGAGCAGTTAGGAGCCCTGCTGGGACTCGGCCGTCTCAGCACTCCCCTGCGCTCCGAGTGCCGAGTCCTGGCAGGGAGCCTGTGGAGAGGCTCCGTCCTGTGGCAGAACTTCTTCCCGTTCGCTCCGCCGCTCCAGATGTGGCTCCGAACGCGCACGGGCTGGCCGAGTTCACAGCATTGCCAGGAACATCTATTACAGCTTGGCTTTTGCAGTTTGGGGGAGAAGGGGGTCCCCGTCCCCACCTTGGCCCCGGTGGGGCAGGGCTGCTGGAGGAGGGAGCCTGACAGCTGATGCCAGCCTTCAGTTGCCAGTTGGTTTTAAATGTGTGAAAGGGGTGACACGACTATTTGATGGGTGAAATATAAGTAGGTATGTTACACGAGCATTTTTTTCCAGAAAACTGATTTCAAAGAGTTTTTTTCTTTTAAAAAAGAAAGAAAAAAAAACCCAAAAAGCAGCAAAGGCCCTCCACTTTTCTGCATGTCCTGTTTAAGCAATGACACATGAAGAACTTGGTGTTCAAGCAATTACCTGGTACTTTAAATAGGACACTAAGGGAATAACATTTTTTAAATGTATTCAGGCAGCATGAGACTCCTCCTCCTCCAGGGAATACCGGTGCGAATCAGAGCACCTCCTCGGAGGTCAGTTGAAGTACACAGCATAAAAACAAATGTTGGCCAGAGGAGGATCGGGCCCCATATCCCTTTATTTTAACGCAGAGGTTGCAGATCATCTGCAATGATAAAGTGAACAACGTAAATATAACTGACATTTATTCAATTGATCTCACTTCCTGCCGACCGTTCACAGCTCCAAATATAGGGCYGCAGAACAATGGTTCAAGGAAGGGAGGCAGAAATCCTGGTTCTGCCCCATTCACACATCCCTATCTGCTAAAACCTCYGGCTTGAAACGCTTTGCATTTCCTTATGCTGCTAAATCATTTCACGTGGAAAAAAAAAATACAAGGATACATGGATCGGAGATGATTGTGAAAATCTGTATAAGCATGAGAACCTAGGGACAAATAAACAAGAAATTCTCTATTTTTACATACAATATAAATGAGGCACTAGCAAATTAACTCTGTAATTGGAAATCCAGAATTGAGAAAGAATGATATGGGGGCAGGGGAGGAAGACTAATAGAAGGCTATTACAAATTACGGTGCTAATTTAGGCAAATCCRCAATAATTTCCTACAACTTCATGAGGTCCTGAAGCAGGTTTCCTCCTCCTCCTCCTCCCATGCCAGGCTGACAGAAGGATCCTTAGCAACACGCTGAATATATTATGCAATACATCCACTACTACCAAGCACAGGCACTGAATTACGCTGAAACAAAGAACATCAGGTGCGACCACCGGCACCCCTGGGGAAATACCACTTATTTCTCACGCGGCGAGYGCAGGCCCCCTCCAGTATCTCCGCTAACAGCATAAAACGGTATTTGCAGCTTATAACCAAGTTAATGCAAATTTTACCTCAAATCTACTCAGGCTGGAGCTCTTGGACCGCGACTTCTTGCGGAGGTACACGGAGAAGAAGCGGCGCACGGTGAACTTCTTCATGTTCATCTCCATCGCCCCGCGCGGGCTGCGGGGCGGGCGCGCCGGGCCGGGAAGCTAGCGCATCCCGAGCACCCCTCTTTATATCCACAGGCGGGAGATGCTCCGGAGGGGCCGCTTGTGCTCAGGGCTTGCGGCAGGCGCGCTGGGAGAGCCGCGGCGGCTCCCGGCACAAAGGCCGTGCACCCTGCCGTGCTCCGCACTGTTGACACGGCGCGGCCGCAAGCGCCACTCTCCCCGCTCCCTCCTGCCTCGCTCCGGGTGCTCCTACACGCAGTGAGGCCGGCGCCTCCTCCGCGGCTCCCCGGAGATGCTGGAGGTGCCCGGCGCTCGCGCCGCTGTCCGCTCCGTCAGGCGTTTCCAATTTCCTGCTTTGCGGATCACATGGGGCACAGGCACATGCTGCACGGCTGTTTTTAGCTCGGGATTGCAACGCGGCTGTAATTACTGAGGGCTACGGTGGTCAGATCCGAGGAGAAATTAGCTCCCGGACGAGAGTCTCCCGGGAGAAGGCTGAACGACGCCGTGAACCCGCCGCCGGAACAGAGGTGTCTCAATCTCCTTCCATTCTTGGGACATTTTTCTTTTTGCTTTTTGTTTTTAAATGGCAAATAACCATTTCCCCCACCCTTAAATCAAAAAGCTTAACATCATGTTCATACATTGCCCACCAGCTTTACATTAAGATACGTAATGCTGGCACAGCTCTGTAAAGCACAATCCAAATGTATGTGTTTTCTTATTCTACTACAGCAGGGAGCTGTAGTGCTTTTAAAAGGTTAAACACGCACGTCTATTTAACAGGCTGTAATTTCGAGCTGCTCACTATATTGGAAGCATGCAGACTTGCAGCTCCCTTCTCAGCACAAACACATTTGCAGCTTTTCTTCAAAAACTAATGAATCTCAGTGCAATCCAGAGACCTAAGAGCTCTCTGTCTGCCATACACAGCTCAGGCTCCTTGTCCTTGGCAGCCTTTCCTTTCTGGCCACCAAGGAGCATCCAGAAATGCCTTTCTCCCATCTCCTCATATGGAAAGTGAACAACTCTGATGACTTATTAATGACTCAGTTGAACAGGCTCAGAGAGGGCTGACACTACTACAGCCTGAGAAGACTCTCGGAGATTAAATGACAATACCACTCCCATCAGTCTGCTCTAAAAAAAGAGAAACAGATTTTGCTTTAATTGCATGTCTGGACTCTGCTGTGAATGATGTTGGCGGGCCATGGCTGTCACTACCAGTTTTGTTCGCAGTTTTTTTTTTTTTTTCTCTCTCTCTTTTATTTAAGCYTCACCACAGTCTGTACCTGGAGGAACAAGAAAACAAAACCAAGCCGAAGAACATCTTGGCATTTATAGTTTTGCTGTAAAGGGGAACCTGCTCAGACACTTGACCACTGCTGTCTCTCCCACTCTCCCACAGCACAGTGCAGGTAGCAGGGAGGAAACCCTCTGCTTTATCCCCTTCCCAGAGCRGCGCTGCCTCCTGATCACCTCTCTACTCTTTATCCAAGCAAGGTGGATCTTTGTGGTGTCAGCGTCCAGCCCTAGCATGAGCCACAGCCACCTTACGAGCCCTTCAGCCCTACACTTCGCTGCCACACAGCACTGGGAAAGGCTCTTGGAATGGAGAAAGCTGTCTCAGCAAACAGCAAGCTCTGTATAGATATATCAAACCCACCTTTGTAAGCAAATCAAGATAACAAATAGGTACAGTGCAGTTTTGCTGGTTAAACTGCGACTATGTTGGCTCACAGCAGGATCRGGGTCCGTGTCTCCTCAGGCGCGCGCCCCGGCGCAATCCCAGGCAGCGCCAAGGCCCCGGGCACGCAGCTCACCCTCATGCTGCTCGCCACCTCTCCCGGCTGCACCAGGGCACGTTGCTGCTGCTCCTCTCCATGCCCTCCCGCTGCCCAGAGAACAGCTGTCCTGACAGGAGGGAGGTCTCGTGGAGGGGGCACAGGCTATGGGGGGCATGCACGCAACCTGAAGTTTGTAACTTGCTCTGGCTTTAAACAGTAATTAGAGAAGATCGTGGCCGCTCTCTGAACCCTTTCCATCACACGTAAAGAAGTCCTGCCTAGACCCTGACCTCTATTTACGCAGAGGAATGGATCATTCTCCGGCTTTGAAGACACAGAGTATAAGCTGCTCTCTGTAAGCGCAAGCAGTATATGAGAGGCTATTATTACTTGTATATTTATCACAGCCTTCATGTTCCACTGTGCACCTAGTAGTGTAACTTGCACATACAGCAGTTTAACAGCGTGCAGCCAGCATTAAATACACGTGATCTGCAATAAGCTTCCAAGAAGATCACACAAAATATGACTTGCTATGTCGCAGGTTCATTAACTGCATACAGAACTTGGTTCCTTGCCAGCTGTGCAAAAGAACAACTAGATATTCTTTGAGTTACGATGCATTGCGAGCACCAGCTGCAGAGTAAAAGCTGGTCTTTGATGCTAAAGGTTAGATTCCAACACGATCAACACACCCAGGCTGGGGTTTAGTATCACATCCCTGCCAATGTGGGCATGGAAATGAGCATGATGTGCTTGCCTCCACGCTTCCCTTCCRAGCAGGAGGTTGGAGATTGTAAGCTGAGAAGGATGAACAGCCATCAGATGGAGATATTGGGGATTTTATCTTCCAACAGGAACAGCACAAGCCACCAACTGAATTGCAAAAGTTTACAGTAAAAAGAATACAGATACAGAAATGAAAGGCCATGAAGATATAAAACTAAGCATAGGGATAGATATCTGAAAAACAAGTTATCTTAGAGGTGCATTCACATGTATGCTCCTGAGATAAGGAACTTAACTGCTTCAGAAGAACATGTGAGAAGAGGTCTCACAAACATTAACTCAAACTTTCCACCAGTGAGACAATATTCAATTTTCCCAATTACTCTAATAAAAAACATGCGAGCCAAAATATGAATTCAATAGGAACATTCATTGTTATATTCATAATGACACAACCGTTAGATCAACCTATAATGTGAAAAATTCATTGCACTTGGAGATTCATGGGTAAATTATTTATCAGCTCCYTCAGAGCAATTTTAACTGCCAAGGAACTTGATGGAAAGAGAAATCCAACAAATGTCTCTGTTTAAGACAAGAATAAACAACAGAGCTGGGGCAGGGGGGAAGGGGAGGAGGGAATATGACGTATTTGCTCCAGCCAGTAATATTTACACTCGGTATTCTGATTTATATTTTTTAAAACTGGAACTGTAATTGCCGCAACACAAAATAAATACATAGGAGCTCACGGCTGCTCCTACTCCCAATGAAGTGAACAGCAAAACTGACGTTTAAACCAGCTGGAAAGGGGCTGCACGCAACACACACACTCAGCAAACAACACCCTTCCCTATGTGCACAGATACATTCAAGGGTGCCAACACAGGAAAGCTGCACGGAGCAACAAAGCAACCTGCACTGAAGCACAACAAGGAGGAGGCTGGTGGCAGATGCCATGTGAATCATCCATTTCCAAAAGAAATACAATAGCCTGAGCCAATGGTTTGCTTGAAAGAACACACACGTCCAAGATATCGACCACGARCCATGGCTGGATGGGGAAATTACGGAGAACTCCGTGTTACTGGATTACGCAGCGTGTCACACCCCATGACCAAAGTAGACCTTTTAAATTTTATATGCAAATCAACAACTAGAGTAACACCTCAACAATTCTGTTACTTGAGCAGATCTATCTACTGATAGATCACTATGGAAGTGGCAACATAGAACTTGATACTATCTTCTTTGCAAATGCAATCAATTTTACTTACTTTTCCTCAGCAGAAAAAATACAGAAACTCCAGGGAAAAGCAATAAAGCATCAGAGGCAAGAAACAGACAGCAGGCACAGCAAACAAGATTAGCAGCACATGGCACACGGAGAAATGGAAAATGAGAGTGCCAGAACAGAGGCACAGGAGACATTCACACAGAAAAGAGAAATTACACATTACACTCTCACTAAAGAAAGTCAGGAACAAGAGCAGATGTTTCCAAGAAAAAACAGCGAAGAGAATGAAGCACAATACCTTCCCTATGGTGAGGAGATGGTACGTGACCCTTGGAGTGACTGCCACTTCCTCCTCGTGAATGCTGGGCAACTTTCCATATGGCTTTTGTTTCCTCCCTGAGCAACTGAGGTGCTTATCTTTCTTATCAATGTTTCTTTAAAAGCAAATGATGAACAAGAAATACCTGAGTTTTGATCACACTAGATGACAGCAACAGTCCAAGTTCCTGGCGTTTCAGCTGCTGCATCTCAGAGTGCSACCAACTTCACTAGGACTCTTACGAAAAAAGAAATGCTGCCCACCAACCCTGTGGAGCTGGTGCAACAGCCTGTCGTATCAGACATATTTCTCACCAGCAGTGATCAATAAATGACGGGGGGCAGGGGAATAGGCAGGAAAGAAAGGGCACATTCCCCCTTCTCCCACTTCCTCCTGCTCCTATCTTTGCATCATCAACTTCAGCAATTACCAACTTTTCCAGATGTGACCTCCAAGTTTTCAGTGTTGCTGCAGGCTCCTTCACCTGTTCACCAACTGAAATCTCTGCTTCAAAAGAAGAAAAAGAAGGAAAAAAATCATATACCTTGCCCAGCTGTGTCCAGCAAGCTGTCAGGAAGCAGCTGGGAACACCAGCTTGGGAACAGCAACCAACACCAGAGTCTTCTCTGCTCCAAGGAACAGCATGGAAGGCTCCCAGTGCCTGTTCAGCCTTGCATTTCAGTCTCCAGGTCTATGGAGCTTGGGCAAGGTTGTCTCTGTGTGTGCCCTGTCTCCTCCTTGCTGCAGTCACCTAAAAATGCCCATTTCCTCAAATCCTCCTAAACACCCACCAGCTACCTGATGATAGAAGGCAGTTACTTTTGAATAAAGACTTTGAGGACATGCTCTTGATCTTATTTGTGCTAAGGCTTGCTCTTACTTGTGCAGAGACCACTGGGACTGCTGCAGAACTAACAGCTCCAAGACAACATAACAACATTCAATTGAATTTTCAGCAGAGGGACAGACACTAATTCGCACAAAAGGGGCCTGCATTAGT